GGGGTTCCTCTCAAAGCTGGGACTACCAGGCTGAGGACCATACATTCATCTGCAGAGCCCTGGATGGGCCTGGCCTGGGAGCAGGGCCATGACATGAGGCTTCAAAGTGCTGTAAGAAGAGCTCCCCAATACCAACAGATCCAAGCCTCCTGTACAGATGGGGAAACTGAGGCCTGGAGAGGGAAAGGGTCCTATCCAGGTCACACAACCAGTCCATGCTGGCACTGGGAGAATGGGAGAGGATCCAGTGCTCCCATGGCTCATGTCCCAGCCTGGCTCCCAGAGCTGCACAGATGCATCTACAGGAGGGACCCTGTGTGTGTGTGTGTGTATGCATGTGGGTGTACGTGGGTGTACGTGTGTGCTCGTGTGCATGACAGCAAAGCCAAAAGCAGACACCCACAAAGTGCTATGATATGCCCACCCCACCTTATCCTAATCCTTCCCTCCCTTCCTTCAATCTTTCCTTCCTTCCTTCCTTCCTGGGGCAAGACCTGCCTTTCTTCTCCAGAGACTTCCCTCACCTCTGCCCCAACCCTTGTTCTCATCTCTCCCCAGGGCCTGGCCTCGGTCCACCCACCATCCCCCTTACTTCTCTGACCTCATCTTTTCCCCTTTCCCCTTTCCATTCCAGCACAGCGGCCCCTCCAGCTCTCTGCCAGGGAACTGGCTGTTCCTCTCACATGTTCTTTCCCCAAGTGTCCACCTGGCTCACTCCGTCACTCCTTCAGGTCTTAAGTCATCTTCTCAGAGGCCATCTGCTCTTTACCCCTCCCCACACTTTCTATACACTGGTCCTGCTTTTTCTCCATAGCATCTATAACACACCATGTATTTTACATAGAACGTTAGCTCCATGAGGACGAGGACTACTATCTTCCTTATGCCTGTTTCCTCAGTGCTGGCATGGAGCCTGGCACATTGGAGGCTGTCAGCTGGAATCTGCCAAGAGAATGGAAAGGCTTGCTCTGCGACAGGTCAGGGTTTATCCGAGCCTGACGTTGGGACCAGAACCTGCAAGGTGTTAGGGGCAGCATACCTAGTGCAAGCCTGTGGCAGAGCAGTGGACAGCAGGTGGGGGCTCTGGGGGCCGCCCTGCCTCCAGGGCTCCTCCCAGGGACAGGAGAATGCCCAGGGGCTGAAGTGCTCACGGAGAGGCAGAGGAGGGGAGGAACCAGAACCCTGGGCCCCATAAATACCTCTCTCAGCTGTAACTGAGGTCTTGGGACCGTGCTGCTCTGGAATGCCAAGAATGAGAAAGGCTCGCAGGGCCGCTGAGGGTGAGAGAGGGGAATGGGCTTGCAGAGGGTCACAGCAGAAGGCCACTGTACAGTTGGGAACTTCCAGCTGTGGGCCCTTCCCTGGTCAATCCCAGCCGGGGTTCCCCTGGCTCAGCTCCTCCCACCATGGGACATCAGACACACTCATCCTCCCTGGATTTCCTGTGATCTCACCAGGCTCCCCACCTGTTACCCCTCCCCTCTATCCTGTTCTCACATTAAAGCTATTCCCTTTGTCTTTTTAAATATATCTTACATACAAACAATACATGTCACATTTATGTTACCAAGCACAATCATATAATAAACCCACAAATGTATGTCCACGCCAGAACTAGAAAATTATTAATAGCTTTCACTACTCCTGTGCTCCTCCCCATCTGCCTGTAGGAATCATTTCTTTTTCTAAAATAGTTTTCTTGCATGCATATCTATATATAGCAAAGAATGTGTTTTTGCTTGTTTTTCAGCTGTAAGATTGGTGTCACACTGTATATAGTCTGTATTTTATTTTTGAGACAGAGTCTCACTCTGTCACTCAGGCTGGAGTGCAGTAGCACAATCTTGGCTCACTGCAACCTCCACCTCCCGGGATCAAGGGATTCTCCTGCGTCAGCCTTCCCAGTAGCAGATTACAGGCACCCAACCACACCAGCTAATTTTTATATTTTTAGTAGAGACAGGGTTTCACCATGTTGCCCAGGCTGGTCTGGAACTCCTGACCACAGGTGATCTGCCGGTCTCGCCTTCCCAAAGTGCTGGGATTACAGGCGTGAGCCACCACAGCCAGCTACTATATTACTTTTTATGCCTCTAGAATTTTTCTGTGTTGTTACAGGTGTCTGTTGTGCCTTAATTTTCGCTATTGTAGAGGATTCTGTTATTTGCAGTTGCACAGCAGGGTATGTATCTGTCCCCTGTGGATGGACATCTGGGTTGTGTCCAGTGTCTCTCGACCACCCTACCTTGTGCCATGTTCCCTGACCCTCCTGTCATTATTCCACACTCTAGCTACATCCACAAAGCCATGACTTCATGAATCCCTGTCTTCAACTTCTGAGCTCCAGACCATATAAAAGGCATAACTGTGTTTATTGAGCCAGAAATGAATCTCAACATTTTACATGTGGTAGCGCATTTAATATTCACAGCAATACAAATGATAGTAGGTAATATTCTTTTTTTTTTTTTTTTTTTTTTTTG